CCTTCATCCTCATCCTCTGGTATAAATTTGCTAGGACATTTCATTGTGAATTTAAATACAACAATTTAAATTAAATCTACAAACAAGGCCATCTTACTCTGACATAGTAGACATTTTTCTATCAGTGAAAGAAAGTTCCTAGAAAATAACTGGCTTATTTATTGCTTTAAATAAGTTCCCTATTTTGGCAAGGAAATAGGAAAAAAAAAAAAAAAAAGGATTTCGTAATTACAAAGAAAGTTGCCCCACTAAAAGAAAAATCACCAAACGTTGCAGGGAGGGTCACAAGGCCCTTTTCCCAAGTTAGGGGTACAAGAAGAAGCTGAGGCCTCTGTATTCCTGTCTTTTATTCTCTGATCCTAAGGCACCTCAAACAAATGCTCCACAGGAAAGGGGTCTGCGTGGGCATACCTGTGAGGGGACCCCAGAGCACTTCGGAATTAAATACGAACTCATGAGATTTAAACATACATACCACTGGTCATGTGAGACACTTTTGCAAGTTTCTTCATCACATTGTCTAGCCGAGACTGAGTGCTCTCCAACTCGTGAGAGAACTCATCCAACATGCTAGAAAGAGGAGGCAGAAGGTTGGTGATACGCACAAAACTCAGCAAGGCACAGACCATGGAATGACGTCAGGATCTAGGTTCTATTTCAGCCAACTTAAAACGGGCAACATTGGGATTCAGTACCCAGTCTATTACTCAAAAATCCTTGGGACAAGATATGCTTCTTTTGATTTTGGAATTCTGGGAGTTTATAAAAAGATAAGTTATATATGCTACTATTAGTCAACATCCCCAGCCTGGTCTGAGGCATGCCCCCCACCCCCATAATCAACACATTTCTTTTTTTTCTTCATTTTTTTGTAGTTGTAGATGGACAGCATGCCTTTACTTTATTTATTTATTTTACGCGGTGCTGAGGATTGGATCCAGTGCCTCACACATGCCAGGCAAGCACTCTGCCACTGAGCTGCAGCCCCAGCCAACACATTTATTCTTCTGTGGAAAAAACTATGAAAATTCACAGGTGCAGTCAGTTCAGACGAGGTTTTCTGTAAGACGAGCATGCTGCATATTAAAAAAGAGAAGCTTGATTTTTAGAGCTTTCTGGATTTCAGAATTGCAGATACGGCAGCGTGGACCTGACTGCACAATACTACAAACTTACTGATAGGGCCACAGGGCAGAATGCGACTCTGAGAAGTCAGATAGCCAGGCTCTGTCCTTCTACCTTGGTCAAGGTACCCTACAACTTTGGGGGGACTGTTTTCTCACTTGTAAAATGGGGTGATCCTACCAGCCCCATTCCCCTCATGGGGTACTTGTGAAAACCACATAAAATACAAAAGCGCCGTGTGTCAACAAGGGTTAAGGAACGTACTTTAATGAGATATATTCTCCCTTAAATCCCTCTTTGCTTGATCATAATCGGAAAGCGTCGGCACCAACATCCCTGAGGGGCATCACCACCTCCCCTACTCAGAGGAGCCACAGTTTCCTCCAGGAAAACCAGCACCAGGAGACACTTTCCTTATTTGCTGGCCAATGTATAGCAGAGAAAGCAAACACCAAAATCCGGTCCTCTTACTCCATCAATCACCACACATTGCAGACCTTTCAGCTGTTGATTAGCCCATGATTATTCTGCGGCTAGAATTAACACACCAATTAGTACCAGGGGCCTGACTACAAAGGCCTTCTTAACTCTGACAGAGTCACTGGCAGCTAGAAACTGTTGGTCTTGGTGTGTGCCCAGAAAGGACACATGACAGTCCTGCAGGATTTGGGACCATCAACTCCTCATTAAGTCAATTACTAAATAAACTCCACATCAACAACTAAATAAATTTGTGTCCCTTACCTTAATTCTCACACTACAACATTTTTAGCTCCTCTTAGAGCCTGGCAGCACTGCAGCCCTGCAGCTGGCAGGCCTCTGTGGGCAGGGCCCAATGCTGAAAAACAAGAGCTACCTTTGTGTGCTGGGTACGACTTCTCTTACTGAGACAAAGCAGGCATGTCGCTAACCTTTAGCCAAGGACACCCACAGGCCAAGCGTCCAGTCCTGCTCTAACTCAATGCCCGCCAGCCGAAGGGCACTGTGGCACACATGACATTTTACAATTTCCAGGAGCCATGTTTAAAAAATAAAAACTGCTGAAATTAAGGGGCTGAGGTTGTGGCTCAGAGAGAGAGCGCTCACCTAGCACGCACAAGGCACTGGGTCTGATCATCAGCACCACATAAAGCAAAATAAAAATATTGTGTCCACCTAAAACTAAAATATAAATTTAAAAAAACTGCTGAAATTAACTAATAATCTACTCTATTCCAATATGTGAAAAATATTACCACTTTAACATATCATTAATGCAGAAATTACTAATAAATTATTTTATACTTTTTTCACCTCAAAATCCACTGTGCACTTGACTCCTAGAGCACACCTCCATCTGAATGCTCACACTTCACCTGCTCAACAAGCACATGTGGGTGTGACTCGTGCTATTTACTGGCACCATCAGCCAAAGATTCATGTTTTTTCCTTTTAATTTACTTATTTTTACCAGAGTGACATACATACCTAGTTTAAAGAGATAAATGGTCTGAAAGCCTTTTTACAAAAACCATGGTTGTTTTCTGTTCCCCAGGGCAGGTGCTTCCACCCCCTCACAGTCTTCTCTTGGTACATTCTCCATTTTTAGAAGTAACATCCTTGTACCCCAGGACCTTGACTTTTATTTTTATCTTCAGACTTTACCTGTTGGCTCAGCACTACCATAGAATTTAGCTCTCTTCCTATCTGATCTCACCTCTGCATCCTCCCCACTTCCCTCTGATTGTACAGTCACAGTTTGATTAGATCAATATTCAGCATTTACATTAGGACTACTGAATAAATGCTACCCATGGCTGGGGGCTGTGTGGTGGGACTTGGAGCTCAGTTGTGGTCACCTCTGGCTGAGGGTTCACCCTTCTCTGGCCTGCCAAGTCTATAACCAGCCTCTGCCTGCTTTCTAGGATCTAAACTGTTATGACTGTTTTATTTCATATTTTATGACCCCATAAGTTTTAAGCCTTAAAAAAATTCCTTTGCTATTGTTCTAGTGGATTTAGAGGGAGTAGAGATGGGGTGTGCTCAATTCACATCTTTAACTGGGAGCCTCAGGTTTTCTATATTGTCTGTTTGCTTCACCAACAGACTACCTCAGGTCATTAATTCCTTCCCATCTCAACAAAGGAATTTAGAGTCTAATCTGTGTTTGACAGGAAGCAAAGTCTAGATTCCTGCTATTCCAACTGCCTAGCTGGTCTCCCTGCCTGGATTCACCCTGGGACACCACCTAAATCACACAGCAGCTAAGCCTCTCCAATACCTGATCCCACCTCACTCCCAAAGCCGCCTCCCTGGTCTCCCAGCAAGCCCAACCCGAGAAGTCCTGCCTCCTTACCACCCAGACGAGGCCTTTCCTGCTCCCTGTCTGCCTCCCTATCTGGACTTTGGCCACTCCCTCTGATGCCCATGCTACAGACACGGAACCTCTCACTCCATTCACCCTTCTGCCTCCAGATCTTTACAGGTAGGTGTTCTTTCTTCCTCCTGGTGCACGCCCCCTCACTGCCTTCTGGCACAAGCACGAGTCCCACCTCACAGGCTATCTTCTACCCAGTCTGCAGGTTTCAATTAAACCCTTCTTTCTCAGAGAATTTCGGCTGTCAGAGCACCCTGGGCGGCAGCGCTAGACCAGTCCCGGGGAACTTCCTACTTCACTGTCAACGCTTACCATATTGACTTCATTTAAACAATGTCCATTTCACTCACAAAGTGGCCAACTCTCTGAATGGCAGACACAGTGTCTCTTCTGTTTGTGCTATGTACCCAGGGCCTCCTAGGGGGCCTGGCGTAGAACAGGTGTCCAGTAAGAATCTATAATGGATGCTTGTGTAATCTAAGACTGAGATAGGAGAGTTTTGAAATATCCTGATGGACTGTCTTGTTTCCCAGAAAAAAATTTGTAAAATGGTAAAAGTACTGCATGGTGGCATTTAAGAAGGTTGTTTTCGCTGGTCATGGTGGCACACACCTTTAATCCGAGTGACTTGGAAGGCTGAGATAGGAGGATAATAAATTCCTAGGCCTGTCTTGGCTACTAAGCAAGACCCTGTCACAAAATAAAACTTAAAAGGGCTAGGATGAAGCACAGCAGTAAAGTTTGCTTGAAGTCAATCCCCAGTTAAAAAAAAAAAAAATTTTTTTTTTTTTTTTTGCTATCATACTTTATGACGTAAAAGAGATTGGCCATTTAAAAAGTTATGTTTCCTTGGTCTGGGGCTATAGCTCAGTGGCAGAGTGCTTGTCTCTCATGTGCGAGGCACTGGGTTTGGTCCTTAGCACCGTATAAAAAAAACTAAACAAATGAAAGCATGCTGTCCATCTACAACTAAAAGAAAATAAAATTTTAAAAAAAAGTTATGTTTCCTTGATTTTTTTGTTTTGTTTCTGAGAGGAAAATTTCCTTGCTAAATATAGAGTTAAATTTCTTAGTTTTTCTATTAAATTATTATTTAAGTTAAAGCAAAGTCCTGTCAATGCAGCAGCAGCCACGAGAAGACAGAGTGGCAGAGCTCCTAATGCCACCTGCACAGGCCTCCCTTCACACTGTCCATCCCCTTTGGAACAAAAATCTCCAGAGGTTACATCCCTGTTCACATTTGCATTCATAATCATGCTTCAAACATTTGCTCAGAGAAATTTGTATCTGGTTTTGGAGGTGTTTAAAAATAATAACTATGCCCAAACCCTGCTGTAGATTTTATCTAAAGAGTTGCTTCTTTAGGGGAGGCTAGTCTACAACAGAATAAAAATGCAGCTATAAATAAAACAGCTTTTGGTTTTACAGTCACATAACTGCCAGGCCTTTCGGAGGTCTGTCCTATGAGATGGCTTTTTCTTCGGTCTCACTACAATGACAGGGGTGCCTCGATACTCACACTGCCTGTTCCTCCAGCTCCCCTCCAATGCGCTGGGACATGTTCTTCAGCACCCCAATGCTGCCAGAGACCAGCTCCAACTGCTCATCCTGCTGTTCCACAATCAACTGGTGCCAGAGAAACGGGAAATAAGCAATTAAAATCCATCTTACCTGGTTCCAAGCCCAGCACTCTAGCAGCTGCTAGTTTCTCTGCCAGCTTGGGACAATTCACATTCAGAAGCAAAGCCCAGAAATCAAAGGACCAGACCGTTGCCTCTGAGAACACGCTGCTCAAAAGGCTGGATTGTCAAGCTACTGATATCTCCTGCTGATCCGACTTGTGAACAGTCAGCAGGGCTTGAAACCACCAAGAGAGATTTACTCTGGTTGGCTGAAGTCCAATAAAGGAACAGACAATGGCTGAAAACACAAATGCAGATGACCACTGAGTCACGGGTATGTTTGGGAAGAGGAAGTCCACTGCCAGGATCAAGGTCTCCAACCACAAACATACTGCCAGCTTAAATGCAAGAGACTGTCAAATCTCGGGATGTGGGAAAACTACAGTGTTTTTCTTCCTCCACAAACACAATCTAGAGGAAGCCGTATGGAAATGTTATCTCAAGGACAACTACTGAATGACAAATTAATGTTGACTTTTAATTGTGCTTTATACCCTCTCTTTCTATTAAAAAATGGCTGCTTGGAGGGAAGATACAGCTCAGTTGGGTAGAGTGCTTGCCTCGCATGCACGAGGCCTTGGGTTCAATCCCCAGCATCATAAAACAAAACAAAAACAGTTTACGTCTGGCTAAAAAATGGTTGCTTGGTTAACAGCAACTTGAGTAAACTACTAGTTAAGGAGACATACTAATGGAAATAAAAGAACACATAACCTACACATACACAAAAAACACAGAATTTAAGAGCCAATAGTTTTAATAGACCTGATCGTCCAACCCCTAGATAGCTTTCTTTTAATAATCACAAATTAGAAGCACAACATACATATAGTCAATTTCATTTTCTTTCTCCTCCTCAACTTCCATCAAAGCAATTATTTTTCCATTTAATAGAATGCATTAATAATTTTCAGTGAAAAAACAAAAACTCAAATCTTTCTGGAAGGATCTTCATTGACATGAACAAAAAAAATGAGTGTATAAGAGGTTGGGGAAAAGGTTTTATTTTATTTTTAAAAATCCTTGGCCTTGTCTTCAGGGTTTTGTTTGTTGAAGTGCTGGAAGTCGAACTCAGGGCCTTGTGTGCACTAGGCAAGTGCTCTAGCCACCAAGCTGCACCTAGCCCCTGCCTTTCAGTTTTCATGTCTGTCTGCTTTCTTTTTTTTTTTTAATTTTTAATATTTATTTATTTATTTTTAGTTTTTTTTTTTCTCGGCGGACACAACATCTTTGTTTGTATGTGGTGCTGAGGATCGAACCCAGGCCGCGTGCATGCCAGGCGAGCGCGCTACCACTTGAGCCTCATCCCCAGCCCTGTCTGTCTGCTTTCTGAGACCTAATCAAGCGTGGTTCTCTGAATACTGTGCTCGAAAGGCTTTAAAACCCCTCGTGTATGTGAACATTACACAGTGGCACAGTCCACCGCGGGGCAAGCTCTGCTCAAACCTGCCTGTCAGTAAGCAGTGTGGCTCCCATGGCTGGCGGAGGAACCAGGGGAGGTATCCCGCCTGCCACCTCCCCTCCTGGCCGGCTGTTCTCAGGGTACCTGCTGCTGAGCCTGCTGCTCCTCGATGAAATGGGAATTGGCTAAGTGCAGCTCTCGATCCAGACGCCCGTACTGATCTGTTGTTCCTGTGCTCCAGGTCTGGCTGCCACTGTCTCCTAGCAGTGCCTGTGTGAATGGGGATGATCAGAGTGAGGAACAGCAAACAGGTACCATCTCTGAACAGTGAGGCATCAGGGTGACAAAGAGTTCTCACATTTCTCACTACCTGGGCCACACTTCTATGGGTGCCTGTGTAGTACAACTTAGGGACTGCCCTGAAGGGCCTTCTGTCTTCAAGCCCTCCCTAGGTCTGTCCCATTAAAATGCAAATAAGTGTCCACACTAACCCAACAAACAAATCTGTACATTGTAAATTGCCTCACAATTTAACAGCACTCAGTCCCTTATGACAGCTCTTCCAAGGACCCCGAGTTTCCAGTCCAACTGGTTTACAAATCTGGAGTCTGTTATTGAAGGACGATCCAGGAAGCTTGGGGGCCTTGGGGGATGGGCATTTCCCCAGGATGACAAGAAGGTAAACAATAGCCCCTCATACACAGAAGGCACAGAACCATCCACATCTGCTGAACTCAGTCTCTGAATAAAACCCGACACCTTCGCTGGAACTGAAAGCTAGACTCCCAGAGGATGCGGGGTTGCTCCCCCAGGCAGCAGGACCACAAGGAGTCGGTGTTCTCCTCCAGGGTTTCTGGAGGCCAGGGGTAGCTTTCCCCAGGATGAACTCAAAGGAGTTTATAGCCAGAAATGGTTAAGTTTGAGAATATCTCGCTTACGGGGGAGGTCAGGAGGGAATGTGAGACCCCTTCCGACTGCTCACAACAGGAGTGCTCTAGGACTCAGAAGATGCTGGTGACTGCAAATCACTCCTCTTTGTGGAGTGGCCAAAGCTTTGTACTAGGTGCTTTTTACCTCTGGCACTACTAAAAGCCTAACCAGTTACTTGATTCTCTCTCTGAAAGCCCCACCCACGCCTCTCTCCATTGGACACTGACCTCCTCCTGACTTCAGAAGTGAAGTCTACTACCAGTCAGGACACAGGGGCCAGGAGCGGGCAAGTTCGGGATGCAGAACACCAACCTCTGAGGCTGTTGTCAGAGGAGCACCTGAGATACTTACTATGGAAGTTCTTGTTGAGATCTTTGAGGCTCAGGGTATCAGTCCAGTCAAGAGGCTGGATGTGACTGTCTCTGGAATAAAGCAGACCTATGGCCTTTGGTGGTGGCTCTGCCCTGACCTGTTCTTAGGGATGTCAAGATTTAAAAGATCCGGCTCATTCTAATCCCAAACTCTAAGGACCTCTGTGGAGGACATTGGGGTCTCACGACAATTTTTTCAGTGTCAGAAAAGGGGTAGAGTGCACCACAGAGCTTTAGGCAGGGACCTGGGGCTCCGTCGGGCTGTGTACCGCAGCCAGGGCTATGTTGTCCTACAGTGTCCATGGTCTACCCTTGGTGAGACATACGTCATGTTGTTCAGAGTCATGTAGGTTTTATCGTGAAATAGCTTAGAGTTCATCAGTCTGATCCCCGGGAGTCTCATTCAGTGGGAAAGAAGGAGGAGGAGGCCGCAGCACTGAGCGATGAGCTTGCAGAGAGGTGGAGGCAGTGCTGGTGAGGCTGCGAGTGGCAAGGCACCTGGTACCTGGCACAAAGACCAACTGCCCACATGATGCCTGGAGAACCCTGGCCCCGCTGTTCCTCGAAAATAGGAGGCCCTGTGACCTGTCACTCAGACTAAAACAAGACTCCAAGTCGTGCTTGGAAAGGAATGCATGAATTCTCACTTCATTCACATTACTTCACCTAAACTACCCAGAGAATAAACACGTTAAAAGTAACAGAGGACAGGCGTTACCTACCTCACTGTCACGACTACTCAGGTATCGTCATTTACTTTCCTATATGCTCATGTGCAAATGACAAGGGAATTCCCAAACTAGCCAGCTGTGGTCATTTATTAGCTTCTTTCTAGAGTTAGAGCCAGGTGGAATGAGCTAGCTAATGACTTTTCCTGCCTGTACTATTAAAAAAAAAAAGAAGAAGAAGAAGAAAGAAGGAAAAAAAGGGAGGTAGATAAAAACAAATCAAAACCCCCCAAACAAACAAGACTTCAAACAGGAGGTCAGGTGATACTTGTTTTCAAAATTAAGGGTCTCAGCAAACACCTACTAGATATAGAGATTTATGTCAGAAACTACCAATTCCTAATTAGTAATAACAGTGAGGTAATCCCAAGCTACAAGGCTTCTAAATGGATTACTGGTAACTTTCTGGACTCTGAATAGTCATTCAAAGCAAATAATATCACTCTGAACAACCTTGTGATTTTCCATGAAATCTTTCTTACTCCTAAAGCAAAACAGATATTCACAGAATTTATAAAAACAATTTGTCAATAAAAATCATCTACCAGCTTACCAACAGGTTAAGGAACATTCTATCCACCAAAGGAATGTAAATCAAATGTGAATTTAAGTTCTAGGTGATGACTGTATATTTTTAAAAGGATCATATTTTAACAATTGGAAATGAGTTTCTTTCATACACCATGAGTAATTTCTTATCACCACTTAAAGAGATATTTAACTTAACACACATTTAAAGTTCTTCAAACGTCTTTGCATTAAATTTCAATCATTAAGTGTCCAGTGAGTTCTATGGGTAGGCAGGTAGTAGCAGCTAGAGATAAAAAATCAAAACAACAATTTTCATCTCAAGGAGCTTGGGGTCCAGCAGAAAGAAAGAGAACAAGTAACTGAGGTCCTCAGAGGAAGCCTGGCATAGGGTGTGTTCAACAGGTGCAGAATAAACCCCTGAATAAAGAGCTCTGCGGAGAGTGCTGAAGGCGGATAAGCAGAGGAGAGGAGAGGAGTGGAGCTGGAGGTGGGAAGCCAACAGCCATGTTGGAGCAGCTGACTGGATGCCATGGTTAGACCATGTGTTAAACCCATGGTCCCCAGGCCCCTGGCACTGCTGGGAAGTGGCAGAACCTTTAAGAGGTGGAACCTAGTGGCAGGTCTTCTGGTCATTGAGGAAATGCCCTTAAAGAGGATAGTGGAACCTCACCCCCTTCCTCTTTCATGTCCTAACCATGAGATGAACAGACATGGCATGCTGCCACCATGGCTGCCTCACCACAGGCCCAAAACCAAGGGGGTCAATGATCATAGACTCAAATTCCAAAACTGTGAGACAGAACAGACCTTTTCTCTTTATGAGCTGATCATCTCAGACATTCGTTATAGTAACAGAATACAGACTGATACACTAGACTTCCCCGAAATCTCTCCGTGTCACTCCAGGGTCTTGCTCTTTGTTATGTGATATAGAGACTGTCCGCATTTAAAACTCCTATGTCTAATCATGTATTTTCTTTGACACTTAGATTTTGATGTCTTCTCACCTGCCTATTTTTCCTTTCAGCTAACGCCTGCACAGATGAAGTTGACATCTGATCCTTCATGTCCTAATGAGACAAAGAGAAGAACAAAAAGTGAATGAAAAATATCTTTAGCAAAATACATATAGTTCATTATTATGTTTTGTTCTGTTTTTTTTTTTAACAAAAACCTTTTATTTTTAGCCTCAACAATAAAGGAAATAAAGAGACATTCCCTTAAAAAGAGGTAACCTGAAAAATAAACTTAAAGAGGAGCAAAGAGGAAGGGAACTAACTTTTACTGGGTTCCTACAACAGGCCAGAAACAGCTCTCACTGAATTTTCTCAACAACCCTGTGAAACAGGTGTTATCACCACTTTCAGGTTGAGGAGACCCAGATCTAGAAAGACATGTACAACTCTGAAAAGCTGCAAGCCAGTGAATGGTGTCCCTGAGGCACACAAACACCTGTGCTCAAGGACTAGCATCCTTTAAAAAAAACATAAAAAATCACGAACAATATTTATTGTTTTCAAACACAGAACATTTTCATATTCACATTCCTTTTCTTTCTTTTTTTGGTCCCGGGGACTGAATGCAGGGGCATTCACCACTGAGCTGCCTCCCCACCCCCTTTAGGTTGAGGCATAGTCATGCTAGGTTGCTGAGGCTGACCTCAAACTTGCAGACCTCCTGCCTCAGTGCCTCTGCAGCTGGGACTGCAGGCATGCTCACTTACCCAGCTCACTTATTTCTGAGTTAAAAGGAAGTACAGACTATTTCTAACCAGAATGAGTTTCCACAGTGGCATCAAAAGTAATTTTGTATGGAAAGAAAAATAAAGGTATTATTAAATCTGGAGCAAAATACTTTATTAAATATAAACCATTTTGCTTTTCATACTTAACCATTACCTGATATACAATAAAATGATTTAAAATAGGATGACTACAATTTTCTTTAAAAAAAGGCTGTCATGATACATTATACTTTCTGTTGGCAAGTAGATTATTTTTATAGATGCACATGTTAAGGTATTGATCTTTTTTTTTTTTTTTTTTGGTACTGGGGATTGAACTCAGAGGCACTCGGCCACTGAGTCACATCCCCAGCCCTATTTTGTATTTTATTTAGAGACAGGGTCTCACTGAGTTGCTTAGCACCTCACTTTTGCTGAGGCTGGCTTTGAACTCGAGATCCTCCTATCTCAGCCTCCTGAGCCACTGGGATTACAAGCGTGAGCCACTGCACTCAGTAAGGTATTTGATTTTGATGGAAACTTCTTCCATGACCCACAGTAAATGAATGGTAGACGAGATGGTACCATGGCTTTTATGATTCCTACTATGGTAAAATTGCCTTCTTTCAACTTTCAAAGCTCATACTCATTCATTCTCAAATATGCATGCCTCTGATACACGCCAGGCATACAGCAGTGAATGACACAAATGAGGCCCCGTTCTGTTTCCATGGAGCTGCATGGTGACTTCCCTGAGTCAGACACCTCAGGTGCTGTTAAAAATGCAGTTCTCTAAGGCCCCACCCAGACCTACCAAGTCAGACTCTTCATGGTGAGGTCTAAACTGGCCCCTGTGGTCTACACAAAAGCTAGATGCCTCAAAGTGAGATGATCAGACAAACTAGTATCTCCTGGATACCCTCTCGATTTATCAATTAAATGAACAGTTTAAGATAACATTCTGGTATCCAAACAAAAAATTCCATTCATTTACTATACATTAATAACTATTAAAAAATACCTGAGAAGTTCATAGGGAGATAATACAAGCTTTAAAAAATGTGCCCAATGCATTGTACCATAACTTTCTAAAAAAAAATGTGTGTGTAAAAAGTAGTATCTGAGCCTCTGAACGCCGCATATGGAATGTACTCTTGCTGTCAGAGGTCAGGATGCAAGGGGAAGTGGCGACGGTACTGGAGCACCAGGCAGCTGCCGGGGTGCTGGCAGCCCTGAGACGCTCTGGGTACTGCTCAACAAATTCACCACGCTGTACACGTAGGTACCTGAACTTTTCCTGTTATATTTTAATTAAAATGTCTTTTTAAAACATACTGCTCCCAAACAATGACGGTAAACTGGACCAACTCTTTAAAAATAAAAATTTTCACTTCATTTGAAGAGCCCCAAAACAGTCACTGCCTTGACTCACAAATTCTACTAACAGCAACTTACTTTAAGGAAATAACATCAAATATATACCAAAAGAGACGTGCAAAAACGTGTGATGCTATGTTATTTATAATATAGAGCTAGAACTAAGAAGCATATCCAAATAAGGGAACAGCAACTTATACTATATAGTATTATATACTAGACAGTATGCTTATGAAGAGTCCTGGAACGAGACAGCACACAAATGACCAAACATGAGAAAAGACTCTAACCACTTTTAATCTAAGGGAAACCAGAGATACGTTCCCTAATTCCACAAGAAAAGAAGAAAAAGCCTAGTAATACTTAGTGTTGGTGAAATATGGAAGCTGGGGGCAGGGGCACATGCCTGTAATCCCAGTAGCTCAGGAGGCTGACGCAGGAGGATCACGAATCCAAAGCCAGCCTCAGCAAAAGCAAGGCATAAGTAACTCTGTGAGACCCTGTCTCTGAATACAATACAAACTAGGGCTTGGAATGTGGCTCAGGGGTCGAGTGCCCCTGAGTGCCCCAATATCCCGGCCCCAAAAAAGGAAAAATGAAGCTAGGCATGGTGGCCGGTAATCCCAGCCGCTCAGGAGGCTGAGGCAGGAGGATCACAAACTTAAAGCCAGCCTTAGGAACTCAGTGAGACCCTGTCTCAAAATAGAAATAAAAAGGGCTAGGGATGTGGCTCAGTGGTAAAGTACCCCTGGATTCAATCCCCAGTACCTCAAAATAAATAAATAAAGTCTTCTGAATTGGGAGTGTAGCTCAGTGCTTGCTCAGCATGCACAAGGCCCGAGGTTCATCCCCCTCCTATGAAGTCTTACTGTAGATACCAAGGAAATACTAACCAATATTTAAAATGTGTCTCCTCATTGAATTCCTTACTACTTAAACAAATATATAGGTTATGCTCACAGAGATAGTTACTGAAGTATGGTTTGCAACCGCTAAAGATTAACAATTAAAGTATCTATTGGTGGGTCAATAGTTAAATAAATCATAACAGAACCAGATTAGAGAAGAGGTTACCAGCAGGGTCTTTCATGCCAAAAACTTAGGTTCAAAAACTGGTAATGCAGAGAATATCATGCTAAGTGAAAGAAGCCTAAAACCAAGAGCCAAATGTGTTCTCTGATAAGTGGATGCTGGTCCATAGTGGGGTTTGGGGATAGGGAAGAATAAAGGAACTTTGGTTTGTGTAGAAGGGAGTCAGGGGAGGGGTGGGGTTGTGGGGACGGGAAGAACAGTAGAAAGACACACATTATTACCCTGTATACATGGATGATTACACTAGTGGAGTGTCTGAACCATGTACAGCCAAGGAAATTGAAATCGTGCTCCATTTGTATACTATACGTCAAAATGCATTCTATTATAACAAATTAATTTTTAAATAAAGATAATAGCTGTGCTAAATTGGGCAAATTTCTCAATTTCTTTCTTTCTTTTCCATTTATGGAATAATATCATTTTATACAATCACTGTGGGAATTAATAAAGACATGAAGAATGATTAATAACAGTGGTCAAAAATCTAGTAAACACTCAAGTAAATACTATCATGTAAAAGGAAACAACCATGAAAAGGGGTTATCTAAATCTGCAGCCACTGAGCCCTGAAATGGAGTCAGTAAAAGAGAAATTAAAATGAATTTATTTTAATTAACTAGAACTTAAATTCAGTTACTGGAAAACTTCTATTCATGTTTGGAAAAAACTGGGTTTGTGACTCTCACTGTAAATTTTATAGATGCTCTCTACAGATGAAGTTCTTCCAATGAAAATCTCACATCTGAATTGACATGTGCTTAAGTGTAAGATACATGCCAGATTAAGCAGTCTTGGTATAAAAAGTTTAAAAGACTTCAATCTCTCATTAATGTTTCTTAAGATTGATTACATGTTCAAATGATAACCTTCTTGATAATAGGTTAAGTAAAATATACTTAATTTACTTGTTTCTTTTCCTTTTTCATGTGGCTACTAGAAATGAAAATGCTTAACACTGAACAATAAGGTCACAACTACGAGAAACACTGCCAGTAGGCACTGAGGAAAGTGACTGACGTGCTGTTAGTTATCATTTCACATTTCAGTTTCTTTTTCTATTTTATCCTCTTGCAAAATTGTTCTAATTCTTTAATGAACATGCATTACTTTAATGAAATACATATTTTAAAGGTGCAATTCTAAAGTTTTCTGCTTAATAAAAACTGTGATTGTGTTTGTGTGTGTGTGTGTGTATGTGTGGCCACGGCTGCCGGTAAAGGGCTAAGTTTTAAGGACAGCACTTTATCTATGTAGGTTAGAGTCGCCAGATACCACATTACAGATCACCTTCGCACTGGGATGTGGAATTCTCAGCTATGTTACTAAACAGTTTTCAACATTTTGTAACAACCTATCATGCCAAAAACATAATTACTCATCTTCTTCCTAACACATGAAGTTAGAACCAGCAGTCAAAAAGCAGTTAGTCCCAATAAAATATGGTTCATTTGCCAAACGAACAACAAATGTCCTGATCATGTTCCTGCTTCCCTCCACGCTGTCTTCCAAGCGGAACCAGAGGCCACATGAGCCCAGTGCTCCCCACTCCTGGGCTTCCCGTCCTAACATCATGTGCACACAGACATCTTACGCTTTCTGATTAACCACTGTCACTTCTTCTTGACTTACAACTGTAAACTAAATATTTCTTGGGTTGGAATAGATTTTTGGGAGGGAGGTGGAAAGAGCAGGGCAATCTGAGTCCCTTTGAAAGTTAAAGTTGGAGAAATTAGTGAGGCTCATTTCATTATTAAAACTGAGATCCAAAGAGACTGACTGATTTACTCTGTTTAAAATTTATTAATGTCACAACTTAACCTAGAACTTAGATTCCCTGACCACTTATTCATTATTGTTCTGCCATATACTGCAAAACTCACTACTAAAGTGGAGTCAATTCTGGAATATATTTTCAAAACACAAAAATTTCACATGTGAAATCTCTGATATATAGATGACTCCACAAATAAAAAATGATGATATCAAATATATAAAGCCTATTTACATAAAACTAGAATATTTTGCTTTCTTCTTTTTTATTTCTATTTTTTGTGTGGCGCTGGGGAGTGAACCCAGGGCCTTTGCATATGCTAGGCAAGTACTCTATCACTAAACTACAGCCCCAGCCCAAGTACTTTATTTTCTTCAGTAAAAGCTGCCACCAAAATTTAATAAAGACTTCACAATAGGCTGGGGTTGTGGCTCAGGGGTAGAGTGCTTGCCAAGCATGCATGAGGCACTGGGTTCAATCCTCAGCACCACATAAATGTAAAATAAAGATATTGTGTCCACCTAAAACTTAAGAATAAATATTTTTTAAAAAACTTCACAATCTTAAATGACGTGTGGAAGAACATTTGCAACAAGACTTTTTAAACAAACACTGTTTAGCTGAGTGTGTTTCTTGTTTTTGTTTTTACTCCCATTAGCAGTGTTGCTGCTTCCTTCTCCTACAGATTTTCAAAATCAAATATTGACTTTAAAATCAAATCAGCAGAAGCTCAGTTAGGTACTGTTACCCCACCACTGGCAAATACTGACACCTCATCCAGGCACTGTGGCAGGCAGCTGTAATCTCAGCTGCTCAGGAGGCTGACAAAAGAGGAATGCAAACTCAAGGCCAACTTGGACAATTCAGTGAGAGCCTTCCACAGGATAAATTTTCTGTTTTTGTTTTTTTTTTTTTTTAAGGCTGAGATATAGCTCAGAGGCAAAATGCTCCTGGGTTCAATCCCCGGGGGAGTGGGGAGAATCCAAACTAACAGCTTCTCCAAAATTAAAATTAAATTTTAAATTTAATAAATTAAAACAAGAACCATTAAAAACCTAAAGCAGTCAGTTAGATCACATAGTTGAGGGTGGTTTAGATCTCAACTCCAGAAGGACAGCAACATTTTGAAGTACTGATGTGATTTATAAGACTAAGATTATACTTTTAAAAAACTTTGAATATTAGAAAATGAACTTTGGATTCTACTTCCAATTATACCAACTACCTTAACTTTCAAAATATGTACCAATGAATTCCAATTTTCAAAATTCACAGTAATATCTCTCAGAAATAAAAATATAATATCCAAGTAAAGATCATACACTTCATTGCAAGGCACCATTTAATATTACAGCTGTGGTCCATGGAAAACAGAAAAGAAGAAAGACAAAAAGAAAGAAAAGAATGCTGTATTTATTTTTAAAAACTGAGGAACTGTATAAAAAGATATGTCACTTAACAACAGGGCTTCCTTATCAGAATATTATTTCAAACTGGCTAGAAATTAGGAGTATCTAATCCAAACCTTCATTCTCTAAAGGAGGCACCTGAAGTCCAGACACACTTCTGCCCCTTTAAAATATGGACTTGTTTACAAGCAATTTAGGTTTAAGTATATAGAAAGACAACTACTGAATAAAACAAAAAACAATATCCAAAGTTCAGTGATAACCTCCCATTTGATAACATGAAGAGGAAATCACGTGGCAGAGTGTCCTTGGCAAACGTGTACCAGGTTCTTGCCATATGTTAGCACTGGTCTGATCCCAAGTCTTTTTATTCAAGGAAGCTGCTTTCTAGTACATATGTTAAAGACAGCTGGTTCTCTTACATCTAGTTATGCTAATCAAATGGCTTAGCCATATAGTTTCAAGATACAAAACATATCTTAATGATGCAAGATTTAAACCACATTCTCTTATTGATTCTTTAATAATGGGTATTATTCTTAATAATTTGGGGATAAAGATTTGACCACTTGACTGGTTCTTTTTACATGTTGAGACACTTGCTTGCCCTGGATAGCTCTGGGAAGACTGTCAAGCAGTGTGTAAGGTAATGTCAATAACATGGGTTCCAAGAGTTCCAGAAGTAATTCGGACAGTGGGAGAGGCTGCCACTCAAACCCAGGAAGACCCACTCTTGAGCAATGCAAGCCAATACTGTTCAGGCAAGAAACCAAACAGCTTGTGCAAAAGTAATCCTTCCTTTTGTCCAGAAAGAATGTACAAAGAAATAGAAAGGAAAAATTAAAGGTGCAGACTGTAGGATCACACTACTAATCTTTTCAAAGCCAGCAGCTTATTGTTTCATTTTTGCTCTAATAACCATGACAATATTAAAAACAGAATTTTTTCTTTATTCAAAGACGCTATATGTGGGAAACTGGCATTTAAGTCATACTAAAAAGTAGTCCAGAGTCAACGTTAGTTTACAATTAATGGAAACATTTCTACAGTTTAGCTGTTTCTTACAAAGATAGCAACAGTAAGAACATACTCCTTACCCTGACAACTTGCCGAGTACTTGTAATGAAGGCTTTTCTTATACTCAACTCGGTAGCATCAAGGTTGAATTTTCTAGGATTTGCTTCAACTATGCGTGGGTCAAAAAGTTAAGGTAAAGCCATTTCACCATCGAAAACCTAACAAACAACATTTTGTTAAACCACAGAATCCCTCACATACAAGCAATAAAACCCAGCCCAAGCCTTCTGTAAATAGTCACCTTGATGCTAAGCATTTTCAAACTTTCTCTGCCTACAGCTACACAAATGCCCTTCTGCTCCAGGATGACCTGCCAGATCAATCTCTGCTAATTGGGCTCACTGAAAATCCATGGCCATCTTGACCACAGCTGGGCCTTGCTCCCAGCCAGCCTGTCTCTGTCCACCTCTTCCCACTGCCACTGTGTCCTCCATGTCGTGGTCTTGTGTGACCCCCAAAGCCTTCTTCTCTGCCCTTGGGACCCTGGAGTAATACCCCAGGGTCCCAGGTCGAGGCCCAGAGATGCCCACTCCCCACAGTGCCCAGCATGGCTGCTGGTGGGCATCGGGCAGAATCTTCTTGCTGCTTACCAACACTTTTGCCCCTCCTTTTTTGACTTCTGATTTCTTTTCCCATGACAGCTTTTACAAGCCTTTCTCAATTTGCCATTCCAAACCACTTCCCCTTATGCCAAGATTCTAAACCACCCTCTTAATTTAGCAGGATCAAGCCTTCAGGGAAGATGCCCTTGACTCCTTGCCCTCCAGCCTGGTACAACTGCATAAGGTCAGACACTGGGATAGCTCGGTACTTCTTTCTCATAGCCTGCCGTTATGTATTTGTGCTGTTATTTGATTAATATCTGTTTCACTGGCACTCTTAAGTTCCATGAGGGCTGGTATACTGGCTTACTTATTAATCCAATCTCAGTAACCAATAAGATGCCTGGTCCATAGTATACTCAAGAAATGTTTCCTGAGCTGAGTGGGGATGGAGCTCAGTGGTACAGCACTTGCCTAGGGCCCCGGATTCAATCCTCAGCACCTGCCAAAATAAAAGTTTGCTGAATGAATGATGAAAATCTTTCAAAACTTGTCCTCTTTATCTCACAATTTATCTCCCTCAATCTTTTTTCCTTTCCTTCGGTCTCAAGGAAAGAAGTATCTCCCTATATCTATGGTTTTGATTCTGTCCCCTCCCATTTTATTTTAGGGAACATACTCGACTTTTTTTTTTGTAGTTGTACACAATAACTTTTATTTATTTTTATGTGGTGCTGAGGATTGAACCCAGGGCCTTGCTCATGCGAGGCGAGCACTGTACCACTGAGCCATAACCCCAGCCCCCGTATTTGACTTTTAATAATTTAAATGGTATCCGGGGTCATTATTACAGAAATCATGCACTGAACATTTTAACTACACATGAACCTGTGCTAACTAGTGAGTGATTTTTTTTACAAAAGCTGGTTTCCTTGATGTTTTTAATCTTGCTTAAAACTCAGAAATGCAACTGGCAGATTTTCTATCTAAAGTTTTCATAAACAGGATTTCCAATTTAAAAAAGCCACATAATTCAGCTTCACCAGTTCTCCAGGTTGTCAGCCAGATCAGTGGACTTAATAAACATCAATAGCATTAAATTAGTATAACTAGTTCTGCTTTTACTAAACTCAATTTCATGGTACAAGATAACTCTCCAATGGACAGTGGCATTTTAACATCACTTCTTAAATAGGAAGAAGTCTACAAGAAGATTTTCTTTTAATAACACTAGTCTGTATACACCTCTCTGTAACAGGAACTACTAATACTCTTTTTTACAATACTGGGGACTCAACCCAGGTTCCTGCATGCTAAGCAAGAACTCTTACCACTGACCTACACCTCCAGACCAACCACCAATACTGTCTAGATGCTTACTATGTGCCAGGCCCCATTCTAAGCTCTTTTCATGGGTAACCTTCTTGACAATCCTATGAGTTCAGTACTCTTGTTATCCTTTCTACTGAAGAGAAAACTGAAGCACTGAGAAGTTTTACAACATGCCCAAAGTGCCCAAGCCACTGTTAGTAAGTGCTTGTGATACTGTAATATAATAAGTGTATACTGGTCTCTGCTCCTGGTATACAGCTCCTAAAACCCTTGGGATCTCTGGAGTAATAAAGGTCATTGTGTATGTTAACGAGGTGACTGATACCTGGGAGCTCCTAGATAACCTTGGGAAGAGGGCTGGTCACGAGGGAACAAACTGATCAGAGGGTAGGAACTTTCAGCGCCGTCCCCCACCACCTCTGGGAAGTGGAAAAGAGCTAAAGATTGAGTTGATCACCAATGATCAATGATGTAATCAATCATATGTAATGAAGCTTCTGCAAACTCCATATGGCCAGGGTCTGGGAGCTTCCAGGTAGCTGGACGTGTGGAGATTCCTAGAGGGCAGTGCCTCTATATACTTCACCCTACAAATTTCTTCCACCTCACTATTCATCTATGTATTTTTAAATATCCTTTATAATAAATGGGTGAGCATAAAGTGTTTCCTGAGTTCTGTGATCCGCTCTGGAAAATTAACTGAACCTCTGTGGAAGTGGGGATCGGAAGCACAGGTCAGAACCTGGGGCTTGTGAGTGGCACCTGAAGCAGGGACAGTCTTGGGGGCAGAACTCTGGATCTGTGGGATCTGATGCAGTCTGCAGGTAAACAGTGTCGGAGCTGAAGTGAAGTGCAGTAACCCTGCTGGTGTCTTCTGGCTCAGGGTGCTGGGAAAAACTCCCATCTGTGTGATGACAGAAATATTTTACTGACTGTGAAAGTAGAAAGAAAAAACTGTTTCCACTTTTACACTGGTAGAGCCACAGCCTGAACACCCGCGTCTCACTCCAGGGTCCAAAAGTCACAACCACTGCACTATGCTGCCTTTATATTGCGGAATTTGTCATGTGCTGTAGAATAGGGCTGCTTACTTGGCTGACCGGGCAATTATTTTAAATGTGTCATACTACAAATAAGAGGCACATCAACAATTATAACAGGAAACGTCTCATCGAGGTACTTGAGACATCTGGATAAAAACCTGCCCGTTTGTCGGTTCACTGCCAACAGCACAGACACCACAGAAAAGGATATTGATGGTCTCGTCAAGGTCCTCCAGATCCCACTCTATGCTCCGGAGGTTGTTTCTCAGCTCGTTGGTGGTCCAGTCGATCTCTTCCCTGGTTGCTGCAGAGGGGTCCTGCAGAAGCTCTGTCCATCTCTGAAACAATCCCTGGGCAGTGTTGACTGCTTTCTGTACCTCTCTGTAATCAAGATGAAGGGAAAGGAAAAGTCACAAACAACGTGTGGCATGAAGAAGTTCCCGGGTGTCTGAAGTTAGCATGGAGCACCAAAGGCCACCCTCGGCAACCACCATTCCCACAGAAGGAGGCTCTTCAGACGCAAATACCAAAGTTGAATCACACAAGCTCTGTATTATGTTCTCAGCTGATGCTCAGAATAAAATAGCCATTATTTAAGCAGCTACAATTCCAAGTTGTTTGAGAGGGACACATTTAATTTTTCTCTGAAAAGATTACACTTAAAAGTCACACAAAGACGCAATCCTGCCAATAAACTAAAGGGTCACTAATATCCCCACACGCTTCCATGTGGGTGACAGTAATTTATATTCAGATGAAAAAGTCCTTGTACAGGCTTTCTTCTCTTGGGGTGGGAAGTGGGGGAGGAAGGACTCTCTTGACGGCTTGTGTTGTAGAGGTTAACTATTTTAGTCTGAGACATTTTTAAACCAAAGATTTCATGAGAAGATTTCCAAATATTATTAGTTTTAAATATATCTATTTTCCTGGATTAAGAAATGTTACATAACAGATTAGCATTTTTCTTATTTGGAGTGTGAGATGAGCCTAGTAAGTGCTCTATCTACATGCTTTTAGGTTAGATATCGTTGCAAGATTTTAAGAACTATCCTCCCCATGGGCCAGTACCCACCATTTAAATGTTATATTCTAACACTACCGCATTAAAAACCAAAGAGAATCATTTTAGAATCTCATGGTTTCTCATGCACAATCATTATAATCTCACTGCTTCCAAACTAAGAGAACTGCTTTGATCCTCCCACAACTTCTCCACCAATTCTTCTGGAACAAACAGCACAAAAATGTGTTCTAGCTGATCAGGGTGTCTGTTGTCTATGGCTTTACAACAGAATTTGCATACATCCTCTTCCCTCTGACATTTCAAACACCGGAAAAATCAAAGCACTCATAAAAATAAAGAAAAGCATCTTATAATATTTAGGTCTATAGGGTACTTATGAGAGCTGAAAGGCTGAACATTAAAGAAGAGCTAGTGGACTTGGACAGAGTAAATCAGTGCACCCACCAAGGAGGTCCACATCTAGTTCATGGGCTAGGCAGTCCTATCAACTGTTCCTCTCATGTCAGCCTACAGACTTTCAGTTCTAACGATAAATTCTATATAAGATAAAATCAGAGAGAATTAAGTAAGATGTAAATCTACTATCTTTACTCTTCATTAAAGTTTCTGGTCAATTTGGAAGAAAATGAGGATGGTATCCTATATGTAAAGTAGTTGGCTTATTTTTAAGTATTTAGTATTATCTATGATAATGAAAAACAAAGAGTTAAAAGGTATCTATAAAGACATCTCATTTTAAAGAATATAAAATTTCTCAATTCTGTAAATATGAATTCCTTTTTAAGAACTAGAAGCCTCAAACCAAGAAACCTTGCTGGGCGTCCCGTACTCTCCACGCCAGCAGGCAATTTATGACGATGCTGGAATTAAACTCCAAGTCGCAGTGTCCTGAGGCTTGGCCCTGATGCTCATCAGCACTCACAGGTTCAAAGCACTTCCTTTAGGCTGATGACTACCGGACCACATTTCTAACCCTAACTCCTCACCCAGGATTAATTCCTGTATTTCCATTCCATTAGGAACATTCTATTTGTCTTAAATCAAACTAATCACAGCCTGCCTACAAAAAAATCAGGTACTTAAACACGCAAACAAAGCCAAAATTAAAAACAAGAGGGAAACCTACTTACTTCCCTTTCTACCAGTACCATTTCCCAAGTCTCAAAACTCATCTAGACCAAAGCTGCTTTGCCTCCTCCTTCCACTTCTCATCCTGCACAACCTCCACTTGAGTTCAATCACTAGATTTTTAGATCTGGAAGGAACTTTCAAGATAATCTAGTCTGGACTCACTGAACAAATAAGAGTAAATCAGTGCTGGGGCTCAGACAGCTTGGCTGCTTGCCTCAAGTTCTTTTGACCCTGAGTGTGAGACACATTCCACTATTAAGACCTATTTAATCCCATTTTGCAAAGCCTCCAGACAAATCTATTTTCTTTGTGGAATCAGAGGATCTGGGTCTGAGTCCTTGAAAGGAGCCTGTAAGCCAAACACCTGCCTCCAGCAGGGCAGAGCTGCGAAAGCCTGGGACTCTGAGTCAGCTGCTAGGTCTTCCTCCCATCCCCTCCTGGCTCACTGTGGCTCTGGCCTGCTCAGATGCTTCCCCAGCCAAGGAGAAAGCAAATGAAAAGCAGACACTCCCTTTAAGGCCCAGTTTGAGGCCTAATTCCTTTATTAAAGTATCTTTCCCCAACATTCCCAGTGTGGGCCTTTCCTTTTTTCAACTATTCCAGAATCTTGCACACAATATATCTTTCACGTATCCTGGCCCAGTGTTCTCCAAACTGGATTACTTATTATAGTAAGTGCCTGAAAAGTTGTTTCTACATTAAAACATCTGATTCTACTAGACCAATACTGTCAATACAAGTTTTCTTAACAGTGCATGAAATGCATGATGCTTGCCCTCATGTGGCTTATAATTCAGCATTAGGAAAGCAAGATATTCAGAAAAGAGAGACAATACAACATACACCGTCTTGCTTAACTGCTTATTTACATCATTATTTCAACACCAGTCCACAGCTAAGAACCCAGAAATAAAACTGTCCTTGTCAGGAACACAAAACCCCCAAAGCAGCAAAATGTCAAGGAGCGTGGCATTTATACACAATGGAGTATTATACAGCACTAAAAAATGACAAAATCATGGAATTTGCAGGGAAATGGATGGCACTAGAGCAGATTATGCTTAGTGAAGCTAGCCAATCCCTAAAAAACAAATACCAAATGTCTTCTTTGATATAATGAGAGCAACTAAGAACAAAGCAGGGAGGAAGAGCAGGAAGAAAAGATTAACATTAAACAGATACATGAGGTGGGAGGGAAAGGGAGAGAAAAGGGAAATTGCATGGTAATGGAGGAAGATCCTCATTGTTATACAAAATTACATATAAGAGGTTGTGAGGGGAATGGGAAAATAAACAAGGAGAGAAATGAATTACAGTAGATGGGGTAGAGAGAGAAGATGGGAGGGGAGGGGAGGGGAGATAGTAGAGGATAGGAAAGGTAGCAGAATACAACAGTTACTAATAGGGCATTATGTAAAAATGTAGATGTGTAACCGACGTGATTCTGCAATCTGTATTTGGGGTAAAATTGGGAGTTCAAAACCCACCTGAATCAAATGTATGAAATATGAAATGTCAAGAGCTTTGTAATGTTTTGAACAACCAATAAAAAAAAAATGTCAAGGAGCCACACAACCGTGATTTTTCTTTCTTTTTTAACATTTCTAGTTGTAGATGAACAACACCCATGTTTTATTTATTTATTTATATGCGGTGCTGAGAATCAAACCCAGTGCCTCACACTTGCAAGGCAAGCTCTACTACTGAGTCACCACCCCAGCCCACATCGGTGCCTTTTACCAAAAGGACAGACTCACTGGGCATAACACACAGTAATGTACCCATACGATACTCTGGATTAAGAACAGATGGCACATGTGACAGTGGTCCTGCAATCATGGCCTGGTGATGTCACAGACACCTTGGTTTACTGAAGTACATCTATGATGTCTGCACAACAGTGAGCCATTTCTCAGAATGTATCCCCATTGTGAAGCAACTCGTGGCTTAACTCTTGTATCTGAACAAGCTCAATTATGTGGTTTTTCTTAGTGGCTTGTTATTAGAAATTGCAAATTCTCAAAGGCTAAATGTTAAAAAGTTACAAGACCAAAAACTCATCAAACACTGAATAGTTCTTACTGAACATAAGGATTCTTAGTGAACATAAAGATGAAAACAAAATTCAAATATGGTATTTTTCACTCATCAGTTTCTTTAAAAAGAAATTCTTAAGTACAGATTTACTAAAAATGAGAATCTGGGGCTGGGGTTGTGGCTCAGAGGTAGAGTGCTTGCCTAGCATGTGTGAGGCACTGGGTTCAATCCTTAGCACCACATACAAATAAAATAAGTGTATTGTGTCCATGTAAATAAATATTTTAAAAAAATGAGAACCCTTGTACTGGCAAAGAATTAAGGGAAATAGTCCCCTTTAACAGTATGAGGGGGAAGGGAGGGTGTATTTCAGATGGCAATTTGGTGATATGCATCTAAAGTTTTGTTCTGTATACCCTCTGAATGAGCAATTATACTCTAGGAAAATAGATTATGAAAATAATCAGAAGCAGCAATAAAGACCTATAACAAATGGATCACCACCATATTAATTGTTAATAATGAAAAATTAGAAGCAAAAATGTCCATACTAAGAGATAAATTATATTTATGTCAAAATATAACACAGTAGTTAAAAGTCCCCTCCAAGATTGTCTAAGGATATAAAGAAATACAAATGAAAAGATCATGAAGTGATATATAATGTATAATCCCAATTTCTAAACTATTAGTAATACACACACACACACACACACACACACATATCCTGGCCTTTCTACTTAAACGCTTATAAACTTGAAGAAGTTATTTTTTTTTTTACTGTGTAACTTTCCCCATTATAAAATGATAATAGCAGTAGTACCCATATCATTCTTAATACTGACTTAAGAATGGAGCTCAATAGTAGGGTACATGCCTGGCATGTGTGAGGCCCTAAGCTAGATTTCCAGACACCATACACATACACACACACACACACACACACACACACCCCAATCCCTGTTTTGAGATTTTGCTCTGAACAAGGCATTGAAAACGTCAAAACCTCTCAAAAGGAGCTTTAAACACTCAGGCGCTAATCGCTGCACATTTAAATTACAACAGTTATCTCCTTTTCCATTTTCCCAATTTTATATTCTTAAAACCCTAATTTCATGTCATTTCCCTGCTCCAAAAATCTCTACTGGCCTCAAGATGAGGTTCTCCTCAGGACAACATAGCTTGGCCCTATTCTAACTGTACTGTGAAGTTATTAACAGTTTGAGTGGAATTGGGCTACTCATATGTGACTCCTAGGTCCACTTAGCTGTGTGACCCAGGGCCAACAAGCTAACCCCAGTATGCTTTCTCAGCCAGCTCCTTCTCTCTAAAACGGTGCGAGTACCCTAACAAAGTGAAAACCCACACAAAGTGCTTCTTTCGCACACAATGCCTGGCTCAGAGATGCAGCCTTTAAATCTTAGATATTATTCTTACTTTCCCCCCCAAAAATGCATACTGCACTGGGCCACCCCTCATGGCCTCTGCTGGCGGTGTCCCCACCCATGAAGCACTACTCCTCCACCACCACTACAGACAAAGAGTACACACTCAACACTATACAGTCAAGGTGCCAGGCTGGAAATACAGGAAAAGCAAACAGTCCCAATGCTCAGAACTCACAGTCTAATAATGAAAGACAGCCAAAGAGAGGTGCAATGTATCGCGGGTGCCAAGGGAAGCCCTTCCTGGAGGCAGTGGAGATACGCTGAATCCTGAAAGCTGAGTGGGTGAATCAGGCAGTGGGTGCGTATGGAGTAAGAGCACCCAGCATGGCAGGCACAGTCACTGAACGGAGCCAGGCACTGCTGGAACACCAAGGCTGAGAGCAGACAGAAGGAGTGGAGGCTGGAGAAGAGGTGGCTTCAGGAAAGTCACTGCACATTCTTCTGTAGGCAACAGGCTGCCACTAAATGACATTAAGTAGGGTGTGGCTGCTTGGGCTGAGAAAGGCTACTTTGTGCTGTCCAACACTGAAGCCACAAAATAATGACTGATTAAAAAGTAGCTGGCGAGACTGAGGAACTAAAATTTAATTCTAATCCATTTAAATTTAAAAACTGACATGAAATTCAGTTGGTAGAAAACTACAGTGTATGTTTGGAACAATTAGGGAATATGAATTTACCTTTTCAACTGTAACTAATGAACGCTAAATACAGATCAAGTTTTTTGGGGTTTGTTTGTTTGGTACCAGGGATTGAAGCCAGGGGCACTTAACCACTGAACCACATCCCTAGCCCTTTTTTACTTTTTATTTAGAGACAGAGTTTCCTCTAAGTTACTTAGGGCCTTGCTAAAGTTCCTGAGGCTGACTTTGAACTTGTGATCCTCTGGCCTCAGCCTCCTGCACTGTTGGAATTACAGGCATATGCCACCATGCCAGGCCAGATCAAGTATTTCTGATGAAAATTTAACATCCAAACTGAAATGAGATGTAAATGTACAGTAACACGACAGATTTCAAAGAGAGTATAAAAAGTAAAATATTTAATTAATAATCTTATACTAATCATATGTTGAAATAATATTTTGAAAATATTAAAGAAGACATTAACATTAATTTCACCTGTTTCTTTTTACTTTTTTTTTTCTTTCCCTTAAAAATTCCTGCCCATATTGGGCAGGAATTAAACAATCCTTGTGTGTCAGGCTCCTGAGGGGCTAGGATTACAAACACACTGCTTCTTCTTCTTCTTTTTTTTTTTTTTTTTTGTAGTTGTAGTTGAACAGCATGCCTTTATTTTATTTGTTTATTTTTATGTGGTACTGAGAATCGAACCCAGTAGGCAAGCGCTCTGCCACTGAGCTATGGCCCCAGCCCCTTCTTTTTACTCTTTAATGTAGCTACTAGAAAATGTAAAATGACGCATAGCTTGCATTATATTTCTACTAGACAAGACTGACCAAATAGATCCAAGGGGCTCAGCACAGTGGCACAAGCCTGTAATCCCACTGGCTCAGGAGGCTGAAGCAGGAGGATCACAAATTCAAAGCCAGTCTCAGCAACTTAGCTCAAAACAAAAACAGGCTGGGGATGTGGTTCAGTGGTTGAGCACCCCTGGGTTCATCCTTGGTACAAAAAATAAAATAAAAATTTAAAAAAAATCCAAAGGCAGAGGAAAGAGACTCGAAGCAGGAAGACCAATAATAAACCCTTTCATGAGTGTCCAGTAAGAAAAACAAGCCTGAGTTACCTAAATTCTGCCCACCTTCAAAACCTAACTCAAGTCCTACTACAATTCCAAAAGTGCCTCCCATCATAACCATTCCTAAGGAGCTGCCTTTCTCTGAATTCTTGGGATGTTTATCATCTGTAGTATTCACTAGTTCCTTAATCATTTACCACCTGTCATTTTTACCTAATTTTGGGGTGATCTGTTTCTCAGATTAGACTAGAAGCTCCTAGTCCAAGGACCATAATTTAGATATCATTAATATCTCCACATTGTGTAAAGCATTTCAATACATTTACTAAACAGAAGCAGCACAGGGCTCCCCAAATATGCCATCACACAAACATCTGGAGACAACCTTGTGACTGACTTTACCTTCCCACAACAGAAAATAGTGAGAATCTCTTTTCCTTCAGGCATTTTAAGATGATATAAATGTCAACCAAAAAACCAAGCCTGTGTTCCACTAAAGCAGTGATGTCTAATAAGCATTGATCGACTATATTGGATACTATTAGGAAACTGTCAAGATGACAGTGCAATTAGGGTTTTCACAAATTGCAAAGTCAAAAAACAAAAATTCTGATTGTCTTCAATCTCAATCTCTACCGCCAAAGATAACCTTTGCATCCTAAGCATTAAGAACTTTCAACACTCATCTTTAAATTTTAAAACTTAACCCCCAAACCAGTTCTAATAAATAACACTTCCCAGGGAGGGAACTATATATTACTAGTAAATCTACATCTTGCCATTTTCCCATCTAAATTAAAGTAAGGTGAAGGGGGGAAAAATATGTTTTAGTGAAATGTTAAGAAATAGTTGGAATATATTTTACTGTATCATGAATAATAAAGTATTTCATCTATAGTACCATTGAAATTTTGGGGGAATCCTTAAATACAAAACATATTTGACAGCATACAGCTTAATTGGTCAGATTTTACCAGTACAGATATAGGAAGCTAGTAGCAACTAGTTGAAAACGAGGGACACTTTATGGTTATTAGTAATCCTCTTCTTGGATTGTAACAACTTTGCAGCTGTCAAGGTTTTTAGGTTTGTTTGCCATTCAAAACACAAAGCTGAAGAGTTATTAGAAATAAGACAGGAGAACAGATCTTTCTTGAATTTGTTTAATGGCTACAAAGTTGTTACAACCAAGTGCAACTGAAGTTTCTATCTCCAAACAACCCTACAATCAAAGATGGAGTCAGGACAGCTCCCAGGGAAAAATAAGGCTGTTCAATCCCGTAAAGCAGAATAAGAGGTGGAGGAAATCTGTCAAATGGTCTGGACAAAATCAAGGAGTTAAAATGAAACACTCATTTCCTTTAGCACTGTGGGAAAATCCGGGTTGCTCATAGAAAGCTGAGGAAAGTTTGGTTTGGCTGGTGTCATTTTGTTTTCCTTCCAACATCAGCACCGAGTCTGCAGGACTGCTTTCCTCCCCTCACATTACTCAGTGAAAACTCCCCCACTGAACTGAGTCGTCTTCCGGTGCAGTGCTCCCCAGCCTCCCCGATCAACACCCGCCCCCGCCGGGCTCCCTGCAAACGTGCTCAGACGCCTCTGGGCACGTTGTGGTCTCGCCGGTCTGCGGGCGAGCGCTCCAAACTCAATGGACAATGGAGCTCACCTCCGTCCACGCGAACTACAAAGCTCGGGAGGGCCATTTCCCTTTTCCTGCCCAGATGCTGTTTTCCCTCCTTCGAAGCTGGATCGGAGCTCGACGACAGTCCCCAGTCCTCTTTCCACACCTGCAGAGCTCCACAATCTCTCGATCCCCAAATAAGTTACACCGCCGCGCACAGCCCCAAAGGGGACCCCCTGGGTGCTTGGTTGGGGACCCGGGTTCCACAATCCAGGTAGGACGGGAAGGGGATGTCTCTGGACGCTTGGTCATGGCCTTCAAGGCTACCCTTCCCTGTCCCCTCTCCAGCCTCAACTTATCTCCCCTCTCCCTACAGCAAGAAGACCGGGGAGGCACGGGTGGCCAGCACCTCCACCGCCACCGCCTCCTCCAGTGGAGCCCTCGCCAACACTCACCCTTTCACCACAAAGAAGGGGTCCTCCATGGACATGGCGTCCCGGCCCCCTCCGCCACTCCACGCACAGGGCGCCCGCGCCCTTCTGGCCTCCCTCCGCCCACCCACCGGCCTCCAGGAGTTGTCGGCGCCTCGGCCTGGGGTGCCCTGAGCAGCGGGCGCGCGCGCAGAGCCTGGGGTGCCCGGACCGTCGCTGGTCCAGCCCTGGATCTGCACGGCGGGTCGAATCCCGGACTCCGGCGCCAGCCCCCGCTGCAGCCTCCTCCCCCGGCTCCTCCCGGCTTGTCTGTAGGCCTGACCCCGCCCCTAGACCTTTAGCCGCAGCCAATCACGAACGCGGCCCCAGCTCCACTTCCGCACCCGCGCTCACGTGACCAACGCAGGCCCGGCCCCCAGTCGGCAGGCCCGGGGCAAGCGTCACGCGGTTCTGGGGGCGGGGCTCGAGGGTAGTGGGGCGGTCTTCCCCCGCCTCTCTGCTCCAGCTTCAGCGAGTAGGCTCTGCCGGATCCCTCAGACTGAGGCGTTCCGGTTTTCTGGAAAGCCTTTGCTGTGCCTGATTTGCATAATCCTTTTGCCTTTCCTCTATTTCTAGTACTTGATTTAGATCATAGGTGATTTATAAGTCCATGTCATCCTCGTCTTCTAATAAAGCACTCTAATACACACTGTCTGACCATGATAAGGCTGCACAACTCTTATGTAGGTCGAGCAGTGTGCTGAAAGGTTTTATATGCATTATCTCAATACTCTGTGGGGAAGGTATTATTATTTTCATTTTGCAGGTGAGAAAGTAAGTTCAGAGAGGTTTCAAGATCTGTGGTCACACAGGACCACAGAGTCTGTGCATTTTCCACCAGATGAGGTATGTGTTCTTTGCAGGGCATTACAGCTTGAGTAACTTTTCATACAGCCTGTGGTATTTCCCAGGAGAGAGCACCTTTGAGAGACAAAGAAGGGTATAGTAGCTGCCTCTCAGCTATGAGTCAAGGCGTTCTAGGAAGCATTTTGTCCAGAATGATAAGCCGATTCATATGTTAGATGTGAGTTTGTGGGTGGGGGATGGGAACTTGAATTGCTGAAAATCACCAAGCACTTTACGTGTGGTGCATTTGGCAGGGTTCTAAGTGTTATCCTGTTACTCTCACAATGAGGTAATTATTGTTATTTATTATCTGCATTTTATGAATGAGGAATTTGAGACTGGAAGATTAAGTGACTTGCCCAAGGTCAGCAATCTCATTGGAGCTGACAGAATAATCAGAATCACACAAACACCATTGGAACCTGCACTCTATTGCTCAATTCCTCGTCTTTAAAATGTAACAATAATAGATAGCTCATTGATTATAATAAAGGTTCAATTTAAAATGCATGTAAATGTCAAGGTCCCAGAGGAGGAAGGTAGTGAAGTCAAGGACACCAGTCCAGAAGCTGCTGTGGTCATTTGGCCTGAAATGATAGGGGTCAGACCAGGATGATGGCAGATGAGAATGGAGGAAAAGGAGTGAATCTGAAATATGTTTCCAAAGAAAAACAAAACAAAGCACCTAGACATGATGAAGGAATGAAGAGTTGGGGAGCAAAGAAAAGAAAAGAGATGAAAGTCAAAGAGTTTAGGTTTCTTTAAGACCTTGGAGGAGCAGGGGAGGGTAGATGTGGGCAAAGGGAACTCTTGGAAAAGAATTGCTTAATTTGGCTATGGATATAGGGAGGGGTGAAAAGGGGTGATCATTCATTCAATAAACACATGAACATTGAGGGGCAGTTGAGTACAGAGATTAAGAGTCCACTTGGAACCTGGTGGTTTGAATTTAAATCCCAGTTCTGCCGTTTCCTGTTATGTCTTGGGAAAGCTGCTTAATCTCTCGCTTTCCTGGACAGTGAAGTGGACACCCACAGTCACAACACCTTCCCCATAGGAGGTCATGTGTTGTGCTCCTACACTGTTCCAGGCACTGAGGACACAGAAATGAGTAAGGCTAGGTCTCTGACTTTAAGGGACTCTCAGACCACCGGGAGAGACCATAGTTAAACACAATGAGAGAAGGGCACTGTTGCCATAGAAACAAAACCACAGATACTGGGATGCAAGAGACAAGGTACACGTTTATTTGGCATGTATAATGGCTGAGGGGTTCCTAAACAGTGGCTAGAAGAAGCCAGCAGAAGGGGTTCATGATGCAGGAGAGCCGTGGCAGAGGGCATTGCTGGAGTAAATGGAACAGGCAGCCAGAACTAAGGCTGGGAGGTAGGCAGGGTCAGAGTTCTGGGATCCTTTGTTTGTGATGTGAGGCACTGGGGGCACTCTCCTGTAGATCATGTGGACTGAGGGAATTGGCTGGGTCAGACTGTGGCAGCTGGAAGGTCATGGTCCAGAGGAAGGATGAAAGTGTCCTGAGCCAGGTTCACAGCAACTAAGACGGAGAGGAAGGGTGCATTAGAGAACTTTGATAGAGGCAAGATCTGTAGAATTGATTGATTGGTCCAGTGTGCACCGAGGTTAGTGAAGGAAGAAGGAAGGCTTGCAGGGTTCTGTGGTTGCAATGGGGTAGTTGGGTTCTAGTCACCAAGAAAGGAATCACAGGGGGGAGATTTGATTTGGGTGGCTCTAACTTAATTGCTAACATGTTGGTCTTCCCACCAAACTTAACTCCCAGAGGGACTAGATACAATGTTAGTACTATCTGCACCTCAAGGCCTAGCACAGCCTCTTATAATCTGATCCATGAACTTATTAATTGGACCACAAGTAAGAGGTCAGTTTTATAAGCAGAAACGGAGAGTAGAGGACAGAGGCTTGAGAAGTTCTCATAATTAGAGACTTGGGAAAAGAACCAACAATAGGGAGGTAGTAGCAGACTGAGATATGAACTATGTGGGGGTCTGGGAGTGTGCCTTTATTAAATGTGTCATTTTCCTCCACCCTCTCTCAGACTAGACCTCGCCCTGCCCTGTCCCAGGAAAGGGAAGCTTTAGCTAAAATGCAAGGAGAAACAAAGGAAGTTATTTGTTGTTTTTGTTTCCCCATTTAATAGGTCCCAGGTCCCAGCATAAACAATGGCTTGAAGTGAATACTCAGCAAAAAGCCATCTCCCCACACCCCTACCCTCACCACTCAGATTTCTGATGGAGTAAAATATCCAAGTAGTGATTGCCTTGAGGAGGAGAGGATTGACTGGGAAGGCAGACCTTCTGGGAAAATAGAAATGCTCGGCATCTTGACAGGGTGTGGGTCACACCAGTGCACACTTGCCAGAACTCATCCAACCGGGACATTGAAATTCTGTTCAGGTTGCTGAAGGAGGCTGAGGCGCCAACTCTGACTTTTCTGTTGAGTCCTGAGAGGGCATCAAGCAGTACCTCTGGTACCTGAGTGAGTCTCCAAATGAGATAGATATTTGAGAATAAAGATAGAGATACTGAGGTTCAAAGGGAGTGACCGTAAATCACTGTAATGCAGGAAACACCCATGAATCATTGAAATGCAAAAAGCAAACATGAACAATTGCACTCTTGACCCATGCCCTTGTAAAATGAGGGCAGTGTGCAAGGGCAGGGAAAGCCAGCATGAAATTGTGTAGCCCCACCCAGCCTCCATCTCTAGTCCAGTCCCTAGCACCATTCCTCTATAAATATGAACACCACACACCAACGGGTTGCTAGCTCTCCCTCTAGAGATAGCCTACTAGAATTCTCCCTTGAATATTATTCCTTGCTTTACCCAGAAGGCGTCTCTCTCTTGAGATTGCCCCTTTTCTCCCTCAAATATACATCTACTTTCCTAAATAAACCTCTGTCTGTGTCTTTGGCACTTGCTGAAATTCTTTTTCATCACGTATGGCAAGACCCCCACTGGTCCCAAGTTCAGTTTCCCCTTCTCTCTGGGAACTCCTCAGACCCATCCTTAGAGATATCTGTCCGTCTCTGACACCAAGTTAGGAGAATGAATGATAGAAGGAACTTCCTGGGGTCCAGCAAGGTATCTTGTGATGAAATAAGGAGCTAATAATGTGGACAATAGGGTCCAGGTGGCCAGGCCACAGAGTGGGACTATTTGTATGATTTGCTTATTTCACTTAGCATAATGTCCTCCAGGTTCATTCATATTGTAGCTTCTTGCAGAATTTCTCTTTTAAGGCAGAATGATATTCCACTGCAGACACACAGGACTTCGCTTGTCCATGCATCCTTCAGTGGACACTTGGGTTGCTTTCATCTTTGGGCTGTAACGAAAAATGGGGCTATGAACACAGTTGCATAAATTTCTTCAAAAAAAGCTTTTAACTATTTTGAATACATGCAATACATCAGTGGAATTGCTGAATTATATGGTAATTCCTTTTTTAATTTTTTGAATAACTCTTTTACATAGTGGCTGCACTATTTTACATTTCTACTAAAAAATTTGGCAACTTTTTACAATGAAATATTTTCTTGAATAATCAGGAATACAAAAGTTAAAAAAAAAGAAGAAGAAGAAAAGAAGCATTCATAAAGAAGAAGTGAGTCAATCAAGTGGTCACATGTCAAAAATAACATAGAAGTTTTAAATCTTTTTTGGAATAAGGCAAGTTAGGTATAAGGTCCTTGCTTAGTATCTGGATGGCCATCTTAAGTGACACCCACCATTTTTAGGAAAAAGTTTTGCTTTCCCATCCAAGGGCCTTTCTGAGAAAGGCTTACCACTCCCTCACACCAACCCAAACCCTAACCATGCACATTAGGACCCGCCCAGCTCTGATTCCTGAGCCTGCCCCATAGAAGTCCCAGAATCCAAGCCTGTTTTGCCTCTCTCCGCTATAGAGAGATGGCCTTTATTTGTCAGCTCTGACAAATAAACTCTCATGTGTATCTTTGCCTGGTTGCCATCTTTCTCACTTACCTGTCTCTCCTTCCTCGCTTTCCCTTCATTTTGGTGCTGAAATTTAGGAAAAGGTTCCCCGGAGTGCCCTCTCCCTCTTCAAGGGTCACTGAGCATCCCTGGGCTCCAAACTGAATTCTATCGTGGGACCAGGCCCTCCATTCTGCTGAACACCTCTCTGCACCCACCGCTGGATATTCCAGGTAAGACCTCTGTCTCCAGTTGACCTAAACGACTTACAGGTCCTGAGAAATGTTCAGCACTCCCAGAGTCACCGCATGGTCGGAGGCACCCCCAGCCACAGCTTTCACAAGGCTGATCCCTATCAACTGGGTCTATAGGTGGTCTTTTATTTGGGTCCTGGGTTTTGAGAAAAAAACACTGAGTTGATTGGGAGTTGTTCCTGGTG